CAATTTAATTTACTTGGCTATTCTAAGGCCTGTTGCTTATATATAGTCTTCTGGTTGTCTTGTCCAAGAATTGAGTAGATTCCTTGATCCCTAAGGTAATAACTGATGACTGTGCTGAAAACTACAATGTTTTTGATTTTGTCAGGCATTGATATGCATGCCATTAAAATCCAAAGCACAAGCTTAGCTAAAATTTCCTACATACATAGCAGCAGCCACCTCAACATTATCGTTTAATTTCAAATCGTTACCTGGGCTTACAATCTAGGTGTGAAATTTCATCTGATCTGGGCAGTGCTCAATATTTAACACATCTTAAAATGATTATTGTTTATTCCTGTTCAGTTCAAGCTGTCCTAGTTAACTCCTTTGTAGTTTGGAGATGTGAATTCATTTTAAACCTTTGAAAACTTCTTGGTTTTTCTTGCTTTGCAGGAAAGTAGAAGCTCATGTTTTAGCTTTACCGTAGGAAGCAAATAGCAAAGTCAAAGGTGGGATTATGTTTATTCATTCAACAGCAATTATTTATTTATGATGGCCATTTTCCAGATTACTCATTTATTCAACAGATTTGTATTACATACTAGAGGCCCGGTGCACAAAATTCGTGCACGGGAGGGAGGGGTGTCCCTCAGCCTGGCCTGCACCCTCTCGCAAACTGGGACTCCTTGGGTAGGGTCCCTAGTCCTGGCTGGTGATCAGGGCCTGTTGGGCTTTCCTTCCCTTGGCTGTCGGCAGCTCCCCCTGCTTCTGCCACTGCTTACCATCTGTGCAGTGCTGCCCCCCCGCCCCCTGCCACTGGTCGCCTCCCTCTGCGGGTAACAGGCGTGGGGTGCGATTGCTTGGTTGGCCTGGGCCTCCTTCTACGGGGCGATCACTGGCCGGCCCCACCCACTCGCTGCAGCACCGCCAGCCGGGTAGCCTGGGGTGATTGATTGCAGAGCCCCCTCATTGACCGCCCTGCAGAGGGTGGCCTGGGCCTCCCTCTGTAGGGCAATCATGGGGCGAGGGCGGGGCCCCCAAACCAATCGCATCACACCCGCCTTGGCTGGCCTGGCGCCAGTGCGTGTCATAGCGTGGTCATCCGGAAGGTAGTCCGGAGGGTCGTTCTGCGGTTCGGTCGATTTGCATATTATGCTTTTATTATTATAGATTATTACAGACAAGTGTTTTGGGGCCAGAGATAAATAATGCTAGTTTTAAAACTAGACAGAATGATTGCCCTATAGAGGGAGGCCCATGCCACCCTCTACGGGGCGATCACTGGCCGGCCCCACCCACCTGTTGCAGCACCACCGGCCAGGTAGCCTGGGCCTCCCTCTTTGGGGTGACTGATCATGGAGCCCCCCCATTGATCGCCCCGCAGAGGGTAGCCTGGCCCCCCCTCTCTAAGGGATCATGGGACGATGGCGGGGCCCCTTGACCATTTAATTTCATTTTAAAATGTTTTTAAATGAAAACATTTTTATCTCAAGAAATCTTGGGGTGTATGTAATATGCTATGACTATTTGCCATGGAAATAACAAAGTCCAGAGTTGACTCTTGGACATAAGACTCCCACTCACTTTGCTCTTTTTCCTTTCCTTTCTTATCCTCATCTGCACTCCCATCTACCCTCATCTGCAACCCAGGATCAGTAGCACATACCAAAGATCCCAAATATCACTGCAGGCTCAGAACCCAGTGAATGGAGAAACTGAATCATTCTTGAAATGAACTTCTTTAAAAATAAAAATTAAAAGAGTACACTTTAAATTCTCTAATTTCTTCTGCTCAGTTTCATCAAATATTAGAATGCTAGCAAGTGTTGAAGTTATGGAATATTGTAGGCTGATAAAATATTTGGAAAATATTTGGATATCAATGTATGTTAAAAACAACCAAACACAGGTATCTCATTTTTTTAGTCCATTTGATTTTTTTTTTCTTGCTCCCAGTTTTTATTCTACCAAGCAGATTTATAGCAATTCTGCAGGTGGTAGTTAGACACTCATTTCATATACTTCTTGTAATAAGACTGTATTTCCCTAAACTTGACCCTTAGCATGTCTTTTATTCTATGAAAAGAAAAATACTTGTTCTGTTGGAGTAGGTTAGCTTAAATAAGTAGTGTTGTATCTTTACATGCTTTTAAAATATCAAACTTTAAAAAATGATAACTTCTTTTCCATCAGCTAGGTAAAATTCCTTAACTATTAACCATGATACTTAAAACAATGTTAAAAGATTTTTGAAATAAGACTCTGAGAAATGATTTAAACATAACCTTTTTGAAGTTAATTTTTAAATCCTAAGGGGCCACATATTCCTTTATTTTCCAAGTTTATAAAAAACGCTGGCAGCCCTGGCCGGGTAGCTCAGTTAGTTGGAGTGCTGTCCCAATTCCCCAAGGTTGTAGGTTCAATCTCCGTGTGGAACAACAAATTGATGTTTCTCTCTCTCTCCCTTCCTCTATCTCTAAAAAAAAAAAAAATACTAGCTATCAAATTTGATAGAAAAACAAGATGCCTCATATCCTTTGTATAAGGCAGAGCATAAATAAAAGTACAATATCATGTTCGTTCTTCAATCTTCCCTATTTGTAGTATTTCCCCCAAGCAGAGATGCCTGACAAACTGCTCCTCTTTTGCTCATATATGACCATTTTTTGCATCAAATATATTTACTTTGGTAGGCTAAATATTCAGAATAAAGTGAGAGCAGACAAGACTTTTAAAGCATTGATTTCTAAAGAGGCAACTTAAACAAAATACATTTCTTTGCCATCAATCTCATTCTAGCTAGCTAACAGTCCATGCTTTTGCTTGCTTCCCTGTATGATACTCTTATACTTTTATAGTGCTTTTAATTTACAACATGACTCACAGGCCATACAAAATTAACTTAAAAATTAGCCTGCTATATTTGGTCAAACATTTAATTAACTCACCCCTAATGCCTTGGCAGGGCCAGACCAAATGATTTCAAGGGCCTTATATGGCCAGCAGGCCGGACAATCCCCACCCCTGGAATAGAGGATCACTCTGCAGAAATACGTTGATAAGGCTCAAGGATCAGCTAAGTGGTTGAACCAGTTACCTTTAAGGTTTTTGCTGCTCCCAGGCCTAGGACTTTGTGAGATGATTGACAGTGGATCAAGAGTGAAGTATGTAGCAGTTTTTCTGGACAAAGGTGGTTTTATCCATTTTTTTTTTTTTTGGCGTTCAAAAGTTAGGCAATCAAAAGTAAAATTCCAGTGTAAGCTACTTTAGGTATCAGTCATGGAGTAATACATCTGTGGGAGAGTTAATTATGAATGCAGGGCTAATGCCAGGATATTGTAGTAGACAACAGATAATTCTGAAAGGGTGCCTTAGGTAAAATGTTTGCGCTAACTAAAGCAATCCAATAGCAAATTCTGTAGTGAAATGACCCTCTATTTTGTAAGATCATGCAAATATCAAATAATGTCTATATTACGTACATTTCCTACTTTAGAAGCTTTATGTCTTTAATGCAGTGCTGTAGTGTTAAGGTTCAACAAGTATAGTAACTAATAATCATTAAAAACTGATTACAACATTAAGCAAGTAGCACACTCATTGTACAAAATCGTAGGCTTATAAACAACAGATGAGACAAAAATTTTGCAAGCCAAAGGTGGGGCATAGAGAGTAACTCTTGAGACTAGAAATCGATTTCATTCTGATGTTTATGGTTTCACTTTTGAAACTTAAAGTGACCTTGCTGAATAAAACCTCAATGTTTGCTGAAAGAAAAGTCAATGTAGAAAGCTGTCCAGGATTTTTGACCATAGACGAATACCACTTACTGGGGACAAAACCAAGGAAAAAAGAGCCAACCCCTTTATTTTGGACACTGAACATGTGGTCAGAGAGCACATTGGCATATGTTATCGGGCCTGAGATAAGGGCTAAAAAAAAATTATATTTATTTTTTTTGGTAATCCTCACCCGATCCGTTCATTTGTAGAGAGAATGGAAAGGAGGGAGAGAGAGAATAATGGATGTGAGAGACACACATCGACTGGTTGCCTCCCGCAGGCGCCAGG